ATGCTCCCAAAAATGGCTCCACAGCATGTAAAAATATAATATAAGCTCTGGCGGACTTGGTTCTATGGTAGGTCTTAAAGGGTTAATACACCCAGAGAAGCATTCAGATCATCCGCAGTTGAAGAGTAGAGACTATTGTTTCTTGGCTCATTTACAGCTTCACATCTTTGCCGCAAAGATTTAAAACCTCCTTTTTTGTGCAGCCCGGTCTCTGCAGTGGTGTGTGTGTGTTTTCAGAGGGCAGTGAGGGCGGAAAGGGACCTGTAGCTGCCTCTGCTCTGTCCCTCCTCTGCACCACAACAAAGGAAATCTAAATGCTCTTTTATTTTATGTACACTGCTGTAAAATCCTCCAGGGCCACTGTGGCCCATATAAAACTGAGAGCTGTCAAATTCACAGAGAGGAGGCACATGTCTGGATTGAGAGGGATGGTTTATTTATGTTGGCTACTGTGAGAGGCCTCTTATTCCAGGTGTAGTTATTCAGCACTGTGCTCTTTTTAGTCTCTAGTTCAGCGTGTTCAGACGCGCTTTTCTATTTAGATTACCCCGCAACACGTACGTAAAGTCATGATGATTCACGATCAAACGAAAAAAGCTGTCTAAAGATATTTGTGCAAGTGGCATTAAAAATACAACAAAGGAAAGCAAACGAGAAGAAAAAGCTTGTGATGGTTTTAAATGACCTGTAAAACGGTGCATACTTAAGAAATGAGTAAACATTGCGTTAGTATTGTATTGTTCAGCAACAGTGCAGAGAAACTTTATTTCAAAGTGCATATCCCATGCACACACACACACAAACACACAGGGTGCTGCGTGCTGTTTGATAACTACCTCCTCTCACACCCAGGATCTTCACCTCGTGGAGCCCAGGAGGGGGTTGTGAAGTCTGGGCCACATCAAATTGAGGCCCCTGTGTTCAGATTAATTGGCTTTCTGTGTTTGTGGAGCACACGTTTGTGCGATTATGGATAACAAAGCTTGTGTGTTTGTGGGAGAAAGATGTGATTTTTGCTCAGGTAGATGCAACGTTCAAACGTGCGTTTTTAAATTTGTGCATGAGCTCTAAGTGAAGCTGGTTACAACGTATATCTGTAGATATTTGAGTTTATTCAATGAGGGGGAAATGCACGCCAGCTGGAATTTATATAATTTGAACACGTGGGTGGGTGTGTGTGTGTGTGTGCATAAAGCTACCAGATCTGTGTGTGAGCAGGCAGACAGGTAGACGATTCAATAATTGCACGTTGAGGTCAGTTATGGATCTTTCCGGCATGTCTGGTTTATCTGAAAACCACAAGAAGCTCATAGCTGCCCATTGTGTGAGTGGTTTTAACCTTCCACCGCTATTGATTAGCCAGCATTGACTGCTCTCTCGCCACCCCATTTGTGAGCGGAGACTGTTGATGTGTGTGCATGAGAATTTGTGGTTGTGGGTGGATCTGCGTGTATTGACACGAACAGCTGCCACAGATGTGTGGGAATGCGAGGAAGCGCGCGCCGGTGAGGACACCGGCGTCTGCATGCGTGCGTCCGCGTGCGTATGGATCAGATTTTAAAAGGGGCAGCGTTGTTGGCGAGTCCCGGTGCTAACGTGATTGCGAATGACAAAGCGTCCAGGCGGGTTTGTTAGCTCCATAATGGGGAATCAATAGACACAACACAGATGTCAATACAACATGCTTTATTGCGTTAAGCTGCCTCACCCCCACGCTGAGCTCTGTACGTACACACACACACACACTAACTGCATGCGACGATGTATCCGCTTCATTCAAATGCATGCAAATATTAAAGTAAGTACGTGACATGCATATCAAAGAGGTTGTCAGTGACACATATTTTTTGTTTGGCTGTTTATGAGTCGTT